AACAAATATGCTTTCTTCACTAGATTAATTTTTTCCTGTCAATTTGCTCCATTTGAGTGTCCTTTTCTATGTTTCTTAATTTGTACAAAAAAAACAAGTGTACAACTAATAGAATATAATTAAGAGAAAGTTAAAGGGACAGTTCAACCAGAAATGACAATTCATCATTATTTATTCACTCTTAGGAGGGTCCCAAACTGGTATAACTAACTTTCATCTGTGGAACACAAAAGTAGAAATTCTGAATAATGTCTTGGTCACTCTGTTCCGAGCAATTACAATCAGTGGGGACTGAAGCTTTCAAGCTTCAAAAAGGATGAAAACCCACCTTAAAGTATGATAAAATAGTGGTCTATATGACTACCGTATATTTCAAGTCTTCACAAGCCATACAAAAGCTTTGTGTGACAATCAGACTGTATTTAAGTCACTATTCACTTGATATCTTTCCCTTCAGTGAGATCTTTACTCAGGAGCCACTGAATCCAAACAGATCAGTCCAATTTATGAATGAATCATTAAAGGTTTATAAACTAGATCATCTTACTCATTGACTTTAACTCAAAAGAATGAATTGTTTACACATTGGACATTGCTACTTTTCTCATGAATGTGCCAAGGAGGCCAGGTACTGAGATGCCTTGAAAAGTATGACTGGTGTTATTAAAAATGTCTTTGTTACATGCTTAACAGAAGAACAGAGAAATAAGTCATTTTTTAAATGACATGTGGTTAAGTAAATGATGACAGATCTTTAATATTTAAGTGAAGTAATCTTTAAATTGTGTAAATCAGATCTGAGCATTAAAAAAAAGAATCCCTTTTGATCGCAAAACACTTCTTCCGAAATGACCAAATCAGTACAATTATAACCCTGCTGTGTCCATTCAGGGAAATTTTTTAAACCGATTTGACAGCCAGAATAAAAAAAGAATGTGGTGTAATTTTGACTCACATGGTAAAGTTGGAAATAAATGCAGATGAAGATAAATCCACCTCGAAGGCCGCCTCCTTAGTAATGTGGAGTTGGTTCCACGTGGTGCTCTCCACTGTGGTTACAGCATAGCGAGACACTACAGAACATCGCACATGGTAATCTGTCACCTTGAGCTAAGGGCACAACAAACACCAAAATAACATTAATATGCTAAGCCAAATTATTTATGTTTGAATTCTTTCAATTTCATTAAAATCTTGACTATAAAAAGCTGTACACATGAACATAAATATTTGAAAGTTAGCTAGTGAACACATCTGGAAAAAAATGCATCAATTTAAAAACATGACTTTATTGAACAATTCTTATGATTAGCATGTTAATTTTGATTTCTCAGGACTTTTTGAACTCGTCACATCTCAGTACATAGAACACCTCAATCTGTTTACTTGAATCTGATTCAGACCACATTGGTCTGGCTACAGAAAAGCCATGTCTATCTGAGCACTCTTTCCTGCACTGCATGCAACAGCTTGAGCTACAACTGACAGAAACTAATATTAACACAATTAGCTAGATCTACAAATGAAAAACTATGAAGGCTAAGATATTACCCTGGGTCTGAGCGTCTTACAGTAAATATTAAACCCCTTAACCGTCACCGTCCCACCTATTTTGTTGTCCTTTTTCTCTATCAAATATTTTAGTAATCATCATAAGTTATATATCGTTTGAAAGTTTAGAAGCCCAAGATTCATCCTGTGAAAACCATTTTGAATTCGGACATTGCGTTACCATGGAAATAGTACTTTAAAATCGTTTGGCAGTCTCCTCCCCCTTAGCGGGCAGTGTCAAGTGTCATATTACAAAATGCATTATGGTCTTTTACAATCAAAACTTTTTATAATCTTGACAAAACATATCATTGGAAAGGTCTCAGGAGTCTCAGGAATCCATATTTTTTTCATATCCTCAATTTTTTTTATATCAACTTCAAATTTGGAACATAACTTGTAAAATATTTATTTTATATAAAATATAATTTAAAAATGCAATGTACAGTGCATTTTCTTTACAGTAATTTCAACTTCTATAACGTTTTGATATTTTAATTTTGAAAATTCCACTTCTGCAATAATCTGCTGACTGTCTTCTTTAAAAAGAGACCAGCCTTTCCTCTGTATTCCAAAGTGTTCATGAATTATACCAATTTAAGTTTGGATAGTGCACTTTAATGCCTATTTTAAAAAAATGGGGGGTGACAGTTAAGGGGTTAAGATTATAGAATGTCTTGTGATAATAATAAGAAATAAAAAATAAATAACTTAAAGAATAATGTAAAACATTATGATTTTAGTCTGATTCCGTTTTGCTGTCTATCTCCAGTGACAGATTTGGATTTTTCTGGTCATATTGTTTCTAACTCATGCAAACATTCTCATGTGTTTTATAAACATCATGGTTTTTAAGGCATCTATTTGGTGCTTCATAGAATTTCACAATAAACCAAAGTAAAACAAAAAACCAAGGCATTTATCTTAATATTTAGTTTAGCACAAAGCAAAAACATAGCTTTTTCTGTCATACTTACTGCTGGTTTTGATGCTGCGGTCTGACGTCTCAGTCTCTAAAAAGTATTGATAAGTATTGATTTCTCTTATCAAGAGTGTCAAAGGTACTTGTACATTACATTCAGTGTATGTCACATAAAATTATCTACAAAGAAATAATTCCAGCTAGGTGTTTTAAATGTCAATGTATGCCTCACAAAAACAAATCTGTTTTACTCATTCCTTAGTGCCACTCACCTTTAAATATTCATACAAACTTTTTATTATTCATATAATCTTGATTAACCTCTGTATTACCAATCACAAAACTACCTTTGAAGTCAGAGGTGTAAATGTAAAAATAGTTTGAAATATTCTCAGATGCCAGTGGTTTGGTCTAGATCTTACATTGAAATAGACTGAAACAAAGTTATTCATGAAAGGGGTGGAAATGGAACTAAATGTCAGTACTGTACACACAAGGCCACTGGATGATTTTAGATGTTAGCTTTACACATAATTCATTGCTGTACCAATATATTACCACATCTCCTGTAAATACAAACAAAAAGCTAAATATGGAAAAGAATGCGTCTCTGCTACTATAACTTTCCAACACACTTTTTAAACGAAACTGCTGTGTGGCAAGTTTATTAAAACAAATTTTGTGAGATAATAGAACAGCGGCGAAATAATTGACATAAAATTCTGTTAATGTGCATAATATGTGAATACAGTAATCTTAAATTGGCAACACCTTAATGATATCCTTCCTTTTCTTTATGTTTTCCTTATTTGACTATCAAAAGAAATTCGTACAGAATAACAATTTGAATTGCTCACATAATTTCCAACCTAGTGGGAATCTTTATTACAACTTTTTAAGATTCCAGCGTAACGCACAACAAAAACTACATCTTTAAGAACACACAAAGACTTATGATTAACAAAAGGATTGTAAACCAATGTTATTTACCTCCATTCCGTATGACTTATTCCTAATGCATCAAAATACAATATAAAAAAGTTATGCAAGTAGATAAAGTATATATAAAATTCTAAGAATTAAATACCATTCCACTGGAACAGAAATTCTTAAAATGTTGTGTTATTCTTCAGTATGTGCGTTTTCACGCGTAATGTGACGAGGCGATTTTTTTAGTGTTTGTTTCGCGCAAATTGCCATCGGTCACTCAAGACAAACTTCACATTTTACTTATCAGAGGAAAATGTCACAGAACAATCGGGCAAATAATGACTAAGTGTAAAATTATGAATAATAATGCTATAACAAGTACACGTACCTGGAGAGGGACTGAGTGCGCGTCGAAATGCGCACATCCAAAAGGAACAACAGTAAGTAGGATGAAAACGACAGCGTGGATAGTCAAATCCAGTTTAACATCCATGCTTTCAGATTGTGTGGGAAAGCCAAAACCACTGTTTTGCCCGTAAGGCGAGTGCGTAAGGTCTTCCACTAACTTCACATTTACGGTTCAAAGTTGTTTATAAAAGGGGCAGTATTGCCCCCTCCCTTCCAAAAAGATCCTAAAAATTATACTGAAGCCACGAGAGAGATGGATGCTCAATTAGACTTGAAAATTACTTTGTTATAAAGACAAACGAGTTCCGATCATGCACAGGTATTTGTGGGTTTCAAGGGGAGCTCTTTTCACGTGTGCATACTGGACATCTCGCAGAGTCTCGCCACGATTTTAGGGGGCACGAAAAACCACAAACCATTAACCCGTGAATGCCTACAATTCTGAAGACCATCGTATGCCTTTCAGAAGTTACATAAATTGTTCTAAAACCGCATTACTGTCCCTATATTTGATGTATTTGGATACTGAATTTTTACTCTTGAAATCTCAGTTAGGTTGGAGGTTTTTGGACAGGCTTTCATACATACTAATAAATAATGAATTGTGAGGAGTAAAGTGGCTTGAGAATGCTCTTGTCGGATGCTCAATTAGACTTGAAAATTACTTTGTTATAAAGACAAACGAGTTTCGATCATGCACAGGTATTTGTGGGTTTCAAGGGGAGCTCTTTTCACGTGTGCATACTGGACATCTCGCAGAGTCTCGCCACGATTTTAGGGGGCACGAAAAACCACAAACCATTAACCCGTGAATGCCTACAATTCTGAAGACCATCATATGCCTTTCAGAAGTTACATAAATTGTTCTAAAACCGCATTACTGTCTCTATATTTGATGTATTTGGATACTGAATTTTTACTCTTGAAATCTCAGTTAGGTTGGAGGTTTTTGGACAGGCTTTCATACATACTAATAAATAATGAATTGTGAGGAGTAAAGTGGCTTGAGAATGCTCTTGTGTGATACTGTGATGGCTAATATGAATTAATTTTTTGGTTGCTGTCCATGGTGCTGTTAACTAACTGAATCATCTTCTGATTACTGTCATTTATCAATGCATAAAAAGGTATTACTGCCAAGCTCTTTGAACGCGATATTAAAATGAATAAATAAAGGCTATTTACTTTCTGGTTGCTGTCCATGGTGCTGTTAACTAACTGAATCATCTTCTGATTACTGTCATTTATCATTGCATAAAAAGGTATTACTGCCAAGCTCTTTGAACGCGATATTAAAATGAATAAATAAAGGCTATTTACTTTCACACAATGGGGATTTTCCCTGTTCTAACTAAACATTTTAAACTAGGAAAAGGGTAAAAATAATCTTTAGTTGCAATATCCATTTCAACATGCCAATGCAACCATCTTATCAACAAAGTAAAATCATACTTGATTTTCACAGTTTAGTTTTAAAAACTAAAGTACAATCCAAAAGTCTGAGAGCCCTATAGTGAAAAAGCAAAAATTCTGTTCTGCATTTTCTAATTATTAAAATTTTTTGAAAAATATAAATTTTCAGAAGGTCTTATTTTTTGTTTTACATTTTTGTGAGGGAACCCCCCCCCTTCTTAATCTTAATGGAAACACATGCTAATGTCCTTTTAAATTCCTTCCTCCCACCTTGCTATTCATTTACACAATCTGTGTGAAGATTAATTGTGTTAAAGATTAAGATTTTTTTTTGTGATTACAGATGTTCAGGTACAGTCTGTAGTGCTTCTTCTGTCTTTCTTGCGATATTCACATTCTGGAATGCAAACAAGAAATCCTTTTTAGACACTGATCAGTGATTAAAATTCATCATTCCATAGGATTTTATGACTTACTGTGGGTCTGTCCCTGTGTGTGTTCACTGCTTGGATGTTTAAATAGAAGGACTCCACTTTGCATCCTGCAAGGAGAGCATAAAAGAACACGACACACTCACATATTATATGTAGCACTTTTCATGAATAATGTAATGAGAGACAATCATGTAGAAGCAGGGTTGCATCCAATGAACTAAATATCAAATCAGAATTCAGATTAAATCAGAATTATTATGTTATGTTGTGGTTTTAATTAATATAGTAAAGAAAGTGGTACTGGCCTAAATGCTGCTACCTACTTTTCATGCTGGGTTCATTTGATCACAATTGTTTCTCTAATATATCTACAGAATATTTCTCTCAGACTGAAAACAATAAAGAGATTTCCATACTTTTAAAAGATAACAGGACCCCATTATACCCTAATCATGGAAAGAGGCATGTTTGAAATAAAACTATAGCTATGCCTATACTCACCGTAAGCTAATGGAGTCAGTTTGAGAACAGTATGCAGAGGACACTTTAGATGTGGTAGATCATCTGCAGAGAAATCAGATGTATAAATTACATGAAAGATCACAGTGACAAAGTGCGTTTCATATTCAGTGACAGCAATTGCTGGCTGTTTTTGGTTTAGACCTGCACTCTTGTCCAGAAAGTAGGCCAGTAGACAACGCATGACTGCCTGGTGGCAGATGACCAGCACATTCTCTTGTCTCTCAAGCTCCATTATGACTGGCTCTAGACGGTGCACCAGGTCTTCATACGACTGCAGAACACAGAAAAGGGCAAAACTCAAAAAGGTCAAAAGTTTGTAAAAACAATAATATTGTGAAATAATTACAATTTAAAATAACCGTTTTCATTTTTTATATATTTTAAAATGTCATTTATTTGTGTGATGGCAATGCTGAATTTTCTTCACATGATCCTAATATTTTGATTTGATACTGTACTATTAATTACTGTTGTTGCTCAATTATAAGTAATGGTTCTTATTATCAATGTTGAAAAGTTTTTGCTGCATTTTTTTAGGATTCTTTGATTAATCAAAAACCTTTAATTGAAATAGAAATCTTTTGTAACGTTGTAAATGTCTTTACTGTCACTTTTGATCATTTAGTGCATCCTCGCTGAATAAACATTAATTGATTAATTTTATTTAAATTTTTTAATTGATCAACAATATTAGCATATTAGAATGATTTCTAAAGGATCGTGTGACACTAGACTGGAACAGCTGCTGAAAACTTAGCTTTGCCATCACAGGAATAAATTTAAAAAGTAATTTTAAATATATATAAAAATAGAAAACAATTATTTTAGATTGTAATAATATTTTACCATATTACTGTATTTTTGATCAAATAAATGCAGCCTTGGCAAGTATAAGAGACTTCTTTCAAAAACATAAAAATATATATTTTTTAATCATCCCAAACTTTTGACCGGTAGTGTACTTTTTCACACAAACTCATTTTAACACTGTTGTGTTGTGTACAAGACTCACTTCACCCTTTGGATATCGGTACCGGTACTTGTCCTGGTCTCTTAAGGCAAACTCTTCTGGATGGGTTGCCTGAATCTCCTCGTACATCATTTCCTCACACACACCCTTAAAATGTACCAGAGTTCAACTGTTTTTCTTGACATTTGCATTTCACATGCATACACAGAGCATGACTAGCTTACCGCATCGATTTCATTCAATGCCTTCCACTGTTCATACGGTACGCCCAGTGCCTCTGCTGTCTGTATGGTCCTCTTCATGTGGCTGGTCCACACCTTCAGGTTCTTGATGGCCTGAACCCTGATGAACTCTGCAAGGGCCTTAGCGTACTAAGCAACAAGACAGACACACGTCTAGTCTATATCTATATCTGCATGTGTTTAAGGAAGATTCAAATCACAGAAATGCATGGCTTTTTATGCTAGAGTTAAGGCTACATCCACATTAATCCAGATAAATCTGAAAGAGTCTCTTTTTTTATGTTTTGGCCTTTCATCTATACTGAGACAGTGTTTTTGTTCAGCAAAAATGTAGCTTTTGAAGATGCTCTCCCCCAAGTGATGAATGTGAAAACACTGTTTTTGCTTTGTAATGTGGACTGTTTACATTGTGTTCGACTGTGTTCAAAAACAGTGTTCACCCTCAACAAGGATACACTTTGACCCGGTCACGTGTAAACTGATCCACTTTGAACAAGATTTTATGTATAGTTTATGATCTAAATCACCTTTTGGCCCTGTGAAGAGAGGCCTGAGTCTCCACCGATTCTTCCCAGCAGGTTGAGCTCACTTTCTCCATGGCGGCTCAGATAGATGGATCGTGGTGTGACGTGGATGTTCATGAGGTAATACACTATACGACTCTGAATGTGATCCTGCACGCAGTTCACGAGGTACCTGGATCCCACGTTAAAGATCTTAATGAAGGAGAGGTGCCTATAAAACCGATGGAGAGGCAGAGGGTTGGAATTGATGCACATATCATCTTACATGAGACTTCAGCAGCAGGGTACCTGTCCTTTTCCTCATCCAGGGGGACATAGGACATTTTGTAACAATCAATACGTTTCAGAAAGTCCACCAGTGCTGCTTCTTTGTCGTAGTTTTCATAATCTGGGCTGCTCAGCTTTACTTGCTGTCAAAAAACACGGAAATAATAATAAACAAAAGCTATCTCATTCGAAAATATTTTCAAAACAATTTTAATAGTCTAGCATTACAAATAGTTTAATAACACAATCTTACCATTATATTTGCCTCAATGATTTCTGGGTCGTCACAAACTGACTCAATGAAAAATACCTGAACATAAATTGTATGAAAGGATGGTTGCTAAAATCGACAATTTTATAAAATATTAAAATGACAGCAGCTTAAGTGTTTTCAAAATGAAAACGAAGTCTTTCTATAAACAAACTACTTTTTTCCCCCCAATGAGTCACAAAACTCAACATTGCTTTTGTTACCCTGCAGCCAAGCACGCTGACACAATCAATTCAATATCTCAATCAAACTCTGAATCGGTTTGCTCAGTTCAAAAATGATTCATATTCAGATTATATTTAGCGCTAGGAGTCCAGTTCATTGTAACAAATCGACTGGCTGTCAATGAAATATTTTAGAGAAGAAAAAAGTCAAAGTCAGAGCTTTACCACTGTCAATCACCATTTGTGGATATGATGGAAATTAATAGGTGGTGAAAACAAATACCTTATGCAACACTGCCCGTTGCCATACTTATAAAAAAAGATTTTTGGGGTAATCCAAATAGATCCCCCTGGAGGAATGGCTCTAGTTTAAGTATTTTACATTCATCAATACATCAATTAATATCATATTTAAAATTTTTGCATGCTGTAATTTAAATAATAAGATATTTTTGCTAGACCTTCTCCAGTCTAGATCTAATTCAGTGTGCGGCTAGCAATCTCTTTGTTTGTTTTGATCTGTTTTTGGCTCTACGCACCTGAAGCAATTTGATTTTTAATCTTGGAGCACAACAATCTCTTCTAGTACTTATCAAACTTTTGATAAAATGACTTGAAAAGCTATAGTCTTGAAGTAACATCCCATCAATCATCACATTGAATACGATACAAAGAAGATGTGAGGCAGACTTACATAAAGCAGTCTGTTGAAAAAAAGCAAAAACCTGCACCTGCCTTATAGTCCCTCTCCTTGGCAAAACTGATAATGACTCCTCTTCTCTCCCTTGTGGTATTGGTGGCATCAAATACCTGTGAAGTGTATTTGTCAGAGACTGATTTGCCTCAATGATTGGTCGACTCCTCAATAAGAATGCTGAGAGTCCCAGACTAAACTGGTAAATTCTCAATTGTATTGGATGTAAAGTCAGACAGATTCATATAGTAGTTTGACAATTTTAATTCATAGCTTGGACAGACAAGAAGAACCGTTATCCATTACGTTCTTGACTCACTGCAACTTGTCCCTGCTCCTTGGTGAAGTAATTGGCGATGTCCTTAAGAGCATTTGAGGCACAGGCTCTGAACACAATACACAGATATGCATTCAACAAATTACACGTGTGCATATCTATGCATTAAGACAGATTTCATAATCAAATAACGCAGTTTATTTAGAAGTTATGTGCAATCATCCTAAATGTATTGTACCTGTGGATTTTCAGGGCCTCTTCATTGTCTGGCCGAAAAAATTCATAGTTCTTGTATGTCTCCACAACTTCCCTTCGATACTGACCCAAATTAAAGACTTTACATTAAAAAAAAAAAACATTCAAAGTTTGTTAGCAGATATTTACACACTAAATTTATAGATTTTATTTCAAGTTAAATCATGCTGATATACATTACATATAGCAAAAAAAAAATTTGTTAAGTTTTTTTTTTATACATACATGCAAATATTTATGCATATAATGACAATTATACTGGTATATCAGCAAATAATTTAATATGCAATAAATGTATGTACCATTCAAAGTTTGTTAGCAGATATTTACACACTAAATTTATAGATTTTATTTCAAGTTAAATCATGCTGATATACATTACATATAGCAAAAAAAAAATTTTTTAAGTTAATTTTAATAAATTTATGCATATAATGACAATTATACTGGTATATCAGCAAATAATTTAATATGCAATAAATGTATGTACATACCACAAACATAAACAAATCCAAATACTTGCCATTAAGAGCTGATCATTAACTTCATAATATATACACTCACCTTGAGTTGGGACTCCAATCCAATTTAGATATCGGGTTAACTTTTTGGAGATGTAGGTTTTTCCCCTGGCTGGCAGACCAACCATCACAATCATTGTGGGACAGTTTGTAAACTGGGGTCGTGAGGCTGTGGACCAGTAAAAAACATTGACATTAAAGTTTGAACAATTTTTAATCACTTGAAGATGTTGGAGTAGGAGATTACATATGCATTCACAACATAATGCCTATGCAAAATTAATCTGATAGTCTGTTTCATTTGAGAGAAATGAGAAAAACCTAAGCGGTACAAGGCGGCGGCTGCCGTATTAACTTCTAAGAACATACAGGAACTCACTGACTTCTGCACTGAAAACAGCACATCATCATCAGTTTGTGATTCATTCTATGCTGAATTGTAATGAGACAGCAGGGTTATTCAAATGGCTTGGATGGCAAAGAGTATGAAAACTACTGAAAGAACATCCCACAGTAACCAAGGAATCACATGAGTCTTGAAGCCAACTCTAGCACTTAATATTCCTGATCATTCCGTTGCCACAACTGAAGAAACAAAGCTCTCAAAAACACAACTTGGTGCAACTTCAAGAGGCAATGAAATGTAGACAAAAGAAGCAGGCAGGGCTCAAGCTCACAACACCCGGGTTGATCATCTACAAGAGATTAACCCTCCTAATGCCCCAAAAATTTTAGAGGAGAGGGAATATGCAAATATAGAAAAAGGAAATGCATGTGAATTAAGTTATACCCTCACTTACAGCCTCTCCTCTGGCCTAGAGAACTGCCCATTCCTGGCACCCATATCTTGAGCAGTGGTGTCTGTGTGAGCTCCTTCTGCTCCGTGGACATGTCGTTAGGCCCTGCAAGGCTGATTGTGTGTTTAGGACACATGGCTGGGATCCCATCAACCCCGTCCTGCTCAGGTCACCTGACTGAGGCGGGAAGAGTTGGGAGGAGAGACAGGGTTGGTGGAGAGACAGAATCCTGGCTGCCAATGGGTAATTGACTTAGTTAACCCTTTGGAGGCTTTGATCTTCATTGTGGCTTCATGACAAAAACTATACCATTTCTTAAACAAAAAGAAAACATTTAAAACATTATGTTCAAATATGTTACTTCATGTATATATTTTAGACAATTTTGAATTTTTTTAATTGGCCTATATATTTTATAGTTTTTTTTTAATGCAACTAACTCACTTTATACTCGTTTTGATCTACAGTATTTATTCTATTCTACTCACAGCAAAGACGATAGCTAGCCTATATAATTATATGAAAATAGTTAAGTCCAAACCACAGCAATAACGATAACGACACAGAGGAACGATGTCGTATGAATCACTTTCAGAAAATGTTTTCAAGCTAAACGATACAAATATTGACAGTCAATCAGAATCCACCAGACTGTAAAGAGCTAGCCTAGAGCATCAGACGACATGACTGCAGAATGCGCATATAATAAACAGAATGTCATCATGTGTTGATGCTAATAGTTATTATTTATGCACTAAAAAATTTGTTTAGAAATAATTAATAATAATAATTAGAAATAATTGTGTAGAAATAATTTTCACAAATAAGCAAATTAAAATTAAACGGCAAATAAAACTTTGAATTAAACATGAAATTTTGAATTAAAAAAACTGAAACAGTATTTTCTTGTAAATAAAACATTGTACTATGCATGCCAGGCCAGTAGTTGGCGATGTCACTTTGTAAAGAAACACTATAGTCTGCACATGTAATATGAACGTACATGATGTCACAGTTTTTGTAGATTACACAGTGAAAATAACAGAATCGTTTTCAAAAACTTGCACTTTGAAACCCATTTTCAGGCCCACTAAACATCGTTGACATGTAAATGAACAGTGTTGGGGAATTAAACTACAGTTACTTATGAAAATGTTAAAGATTACAAAGGGGGTTACATCTGAATATTTTCACACACACACACACACACACACATACAGATTTAATTGATTTCTTTCCCAAATTGCAATGACTGCTCTAAAATATGAGACACCAATGTTTCAAGAGTTTAGGACACAGAATAGGACACATGCTTATTCAATAACTGTTTTATTTCTTATTTGGGTTTATGTATATGCTTTTGAACAGTGTTGGGGAGTAACTAGTTACATGTAACGGAATTACTCATATTTAATGATAAAATAAATGTAACTGTAATCCGTTACAGTTACTGAGAATAAATGTGTAATTAAACTACAGTTACTTATGAAAATGTTAAAGATTACAAAGGGGGTTACATCTGAATATTTTCACACACACACACACACACACACATACAGATTTAATTGATTTCTTTCCCAAATTGCAATGACTGCTCTAAAATATGAGACACCAATGTTTCAAGAGTTTAGGACACAGAATAGGACACATGCTTATTCAATAACTGTTTTATTTCTTATTTGGGTTTATGTATATGCTTTTTTTAGATTAACTGTTAGATGCCAGTGTTTCCTGTCATAGCTATGCAAAGATATGATTTCAAAAACAGTATCATAGCTATTAAACTATTTCTTGTTATGGTTTTAAATCTGCATTTAACCTCAGAACGATCTCAAAGTAAAAAGAGGTGCTTTTGTGGTGGTTGTTGATGTGCTTTAAAAATAAATTATAATCTTAGTTCAAATGATGAAGGATTCTGAAAGTCTGACAGTAATCAGTGTTACAGAGTCCTACTGTAAGGTTAACCCTGCCTGCTTCAAATGTTTCAAAATGATTAACATTTGAAAACATTCATGAAATTTAGAAAAGTAATCAAAAATGGATCAAATGTAATCAGTTACATTACTTTAATAAAGTAATTGAAATAGTTACACTATTGCATTTTAAATAGGGTAACTTGTAATCTGTAACCTATTACATTTCCAAAGTAACCTTCCCAACACTGTAAATGAACACCCAATACGCTTTAATTTTTTTAGTTAAAAATGGTGTTGTGCAAACACCCCCTACAACAGGGGTCTCCAACCCTGCTCCTGGAGAGCTACCGTCCAGCAGAATTCAGCCCAATTCTAATCAAACACACCTGAACCAGCTAATCAAGGTCTTAAGGGTTACTTGAAAATAATTGACAAGTGTGTTGAAGCAGGGTTGGAACTGAAGACTGCAGGAAGGAAGCTCTCCAGGAGCAGGGTTGGAGACCCTATACAGTAAATAAACAGATTATCAGATTATCTTCAGATTAAAATGGAAAGAACCAGTATGGCTGTTCATGACCCATTTAGCACCACACAGCTGTGGTGTAGTAGAGCACAATGAGGCCAAGTTCAAAAGCTGCTTGATCAGGATGGTAAATAAGATTAGCAAGACTGCAGACAGACTTACGTACTGTCTGATTCTGCATGTTCCTGATTTCAGATTGCTCCCTGATCCAGGTGTCATTTGATATCACGGCCTTAATAATGTAACATATCCTCTGTAGAAGGCCTGTGCTATTGGTAGAGGGGAATAGTGATTTAAGATGGGGTGCTGTGATGTAGTGATATCGGTGCAGCATGCACAATAGATGTTGCAGGGCTGCCAACTGCAAGCATTCAGTTTGAGACACATGCAATTGACACCATTCTCATGCCACATGTCCATTTTCTCACACTGAAAAGTACCCTCAAGCAAAAGCAAGAGCACCCTCAGTTTAATCTGATATTGGCGAAACTCTCTAACCTCTCCAGTGTGTATAAGTGTTTGCGCTCTGGAAAGCATCAAAGTTTCTATTTACAACATGTTTTTGTAGCGTTGAACAAAGTAGCCAATCACAGACACATTTGTTGATTTCTTGAACACCTTCAAGTTAGTTGGAATTCATTCATCGCTCATACGCCTTTTTCTGCACACTTGCGAATCCTCTTATTGTAATGAAGGGTAGACACAATGTAAATAAGAGATTCATTGTGTAGTATAGAGAGCTTCGTTGATTTTAACGGAACTTGTTGAGATTGCGATGAAGTGAAGTGAGTGACGTAATAACTATAGCAATGGACGGGAGAAAAATATAATTTGTCAGAGCTGATGTGCGTTATGAAATGTAAATGCAGACGAACATTAATAGAAAAATATTTGAATTTTGGTATCAAAATGCTTTTTCAGTTATTTATAAGTAATTCTCTCACTGTACATTGCTATTCTTGTTGTAGTGAAAAGTTATTCGTTTTCAAAAAGTAGGACTTAAATGTAAAATTTTCAAAACTCTTATGACAACTGATAATAAAAAGTACAATAAAAAATGGCAGCAAGCTGTTCTAGCACAAAACCTCATGGCAGTGTCATGCTGCATCACAACTTTTGATGACACTGAGATACTATTTCAAACAAATTATTACATACAAAAAGATTTTATGTCAGTTACATGAGTTAAATCTATTTTCTGATGTATCATTTGTAGTACACCTTACTTGTGAAAATAGTACCAAAGTGAATTAAAAAAAAAAAGTGAATTCTCACTCCAAGCTGAATTTAAATTAAGAGAAAAATCAAACCAAGAGAAATTCACCGTGGATCATTCAAAACGGCAAAACTCTGACTGGGAAATCGCCCTTTGTAAAAACAACTGCTCTGATAAGATGTCTATCTATACAGCAGTGTGCAGTAGCCCCTCACTGCAGAACAAAGATCCAGGGGGCGGGGTTGGATCCACATCTAGGGCGTGAAGATGGGTAGGTTTAGGGGTGGAGATGGGTGGGTTTAGGGATCAGGGGGTGGAGACGGGCAGGTTTAGGTATATGTAAGGTGGGAGGAGTTGGATCTGGATCCAACCTCGCCCCCTGGATCTTGTGTTCTGCAGTGAGGACCATCTCGCAGTGTGCATGAGTGTTGGCAGCTACCACATTCATCCGCGCAGACAAGCACAGATGAAGCACAACCAAAACAATGTTCTTCTGCGAGATGCATGCACTTTTATTTCTAAGCGCTAGCGGGTTAGTTAAACTTAATGTCACAATAAATGTGAAGACTCACAAAAATGTCTCACTCTATATAAAAAAAAACCTCAATGTGTTTGCATGAGATAAATCAAAGAAAGTGGCATCTGCAAGCAAATAATAATAGAACTTTTCTCTGAATTAATTTCCCTTTACTGAGCCACTTTTGCCTGATTTTTTTAAGCATCTTGTGTCAGTCATTTCTTGTATGAAGTCAGTTCCCCTCAAGTTCACCGTTGGCAGCTACCACATTCATCCGCGCAGACAAGCACAGATGAAGCACAACCAAAACAATGTTCTTCTGCGAGATGCATGCACTTTTATTTCTAAGCGCTAGCGGGTTAGTTAAACTTAATGTCACAATAAATGTGAAGACTCACAAAAATGTCTCACTCTATATAAAAAAAAACCCTCAATGTGTTTGCATGAGATAAATCAAAGAAAGTGGCATCTGCAAGCAAATAATAATAGAACTTTTCTCTGAATTAATTTCCCTTTACTGAGCCACTTTTGCCTGATTTTTTTAAGCATCTTGTGTCAGTCATTTCTTGTATGAAGTCAGTTCCCCTCAAGTTCACACAGATATGTTGCAAAGTAGCCACTGTGTAGAGGCGAACAGGTGCAACTGCACCATATGTCTATATCTTAAAGGGGTCATATGATGTTGCTAAAAAGAACATTATTTTGTGTATTTGGTGTAATTAAATGTTTATGCGGTTTAAGGTTCAAAAAACACATTATTTTCCACATACTGTACATTATTGTTTCTCCTCTATGCCCCGTCTTTCTGAAACCCGTCGATTTTTACAAAGCTCATCGGTCTGAAAAGCGAGGTGTGCTCTGATTGGCCAGCTATCCAGTGCGTTGTGATTGGCCGAATACCTCAAGCGTGTAACGGAAATGTTACACCCCTCACCATACTGTGATGCCCTGTCCGGGCGGAGCGACAAGACAAAAACATTAAAACCCATTATAAACCAGACATTTGTTGCACCCAGTGGGGACATAATTACAGATTATAATGACTTATACTGTCTTTTTACGCTTTGCATCGCGCCGCGTAAACATAAAATCATGTCGGCATTTGTGATCGGAGAAATGACAAACAACAAGTGCTACTCTACACTGCTCAAAACTCACGTTTGAATCGTCAGTGGCAAATCCTTTAAATATAAAAACCGTACTTACATTCTGTGAGTCAGAACAGTCGGCATTGTAGTCTACTCTACCGGGATCAGGAAACAGTCCTCCATAAAATGCATTGCTCACATCGTAATATTTGGGTTGAACTGTTCTGGAACAGTGTTGTAAATACAACTTAACCACTTAAGTTCCTCTTAAGTGGTTAGTCGTGTCCTCTTTTGGAAGGCCAAACAAAGTAGTTTCGCTTTCACAACAAAACACACAGCGTCACACGCAGCGGCCTAGAGTGAGCGGCAGCGGGCAGGTTTGAGTGAGGAACGGCGCGGCGGGCGGGCTTGCAGCAACCACATGTGAAGACCCCGGGCTGGACTCCGCTTTGTCCACGATGAAAGCCGGTCTGGCGATCCACAGCGCAAAGTTGATGTATTTCCTCAGCAACCAGCACGGATCAGCTCTAGGCATGACGAAGCAGATATCATCCTCTTTTGGAAGGCCAATCAAAGTAGTTTCACTTTCACAACGAAACACACAGCATCTTCACGACATGGCGGCAGCAGCAACAATACTACAGCGAGAATAAAAGTTACACCTACTTTCTTTGCGTGAACATTTGGGCGGCGTTATGCAAATCTTCCAACATAGTGACGTAGACATGTGGGGGCGTGTTAGAACAAGTCGTTTTAGGTAGGCGTGGTTGTCTCTTAACTTTTATAAAGAATCTCTTTGGATTTGAGACTTTAGTCTTTGCAACTTTACAGATCTTCTTTATGCACCAAGAGCTTGTAACACTTCAAAGAGAAAGGAAAAATTTTAATCGCATCATATGACCCCTTTAACGTTGAACAATATATCTGTTGTTTTGTCATTAAAATTTAGTTTTCATATTTTTGTATGAAGTGTACTTTGAAGTTTTCACGTGTTTATTTCTCTTTGTAGAAAGATTAAAGGTCTTCATGTTCTGGTTTGTGTGTTTCCTGTTAAGAATAGTTCAAACAGTAATCAGGAAGCTTTCCTACAAGCAAGCAGGTGTAGTGTGCACTCACTGCTGTTTCTCCTTGAATCTGATATCTGACACTTTCGACCCGAGACTTCCTGGATGTCACACACCACACCCGTGGCCACATGTGCTGCTTGTGCTTCATTTTAACTAAAATAAACGTAAGAATAGTTCAAACAGTAATCAGGAAGCTTCCTACAAGCAAGCAGGTGTAGTGTGCACTCACTGCTGTTTCTCCTTGAATCTGATATCTGACACTTTCGACCAGAGACTTCCTGGATGTCACACACCCGTGGCCACATGTGCTGCTTGTGCTTCATTTTAACTAAAATAAACAAGTAAATATTTTTATCTCCTGGTTCTATTGCAAATTTTAACTCCACATAGCAAACTGTTCAACCAAATGTCACTAATACACCAGCCAAAATGCAAATTATCAACATTAAAAAAGCTTTGCCTTATTCTGACAGCTTATGCCATGTGTAAACTATCTCAGTACTATCCATCTGTTGCCTGTTCACACTCAATCAGTTCAGTTGTCACACTTTGAACTCACCGGCACTGTCACAGGGCGTTCGTCTGTGGAACTCCTTCGGAAGTGTGTCCATCTTTACTCGTACAACACTCGTAGATAACCGTAAATATCGATCCCTAACTTGTGCGGTGTGATGTACTTCAGATGCTCATTTTAATGTAACTAAACGAGAGAAGCTTGCGCATTCTCTGCCCCATCATCCCCCACCCTGATGACACATAGACATATGATCTGTGCTGCCTGGCCTTGTCCTTTAATGTCTGCCAGACCAAGAGTTTACAAGCTCGGCAAGCACAGGCTACTCACAACAGCAGCAAAGGTTATGTTTCTGACTTTAAACCTTTATGCTTTCCACTAACCACATACAGTCATTTAGCTTACATGCAGTATCAACCACTAACCTATGTCAATTTCATGGTTAGGTTTGTCAGTATTAGATATTATTAGGTTTGATCTGGAGTTATTTTAATAAGAACAATAATAGTTATTAATGGTTATAAAATCCAGAGGTAGCCAGCAGGACTAGGGATGCATAATATATCACTGCCATAACTGATTTTTTTATTGGTATCTGTTCATACTGGATATGTACCAGCGAAAACTGAATATTTAATTGTGTATAATTTACACCATTTTCATAAAGATTATCATTTTTTTGACAGCATAATGAATTTTAATATCAGCTCAACAGCATGACAATAGTATCTGCTAAAATGTTTGTATTGATGCATCATTGCAACAGTCTAAAGCAAGATGTAATTGACAGTCATGAACTTCAATGGGAACTGTTAAAAATGTTTTTCCAAAAGTAAACAACGATAGTGACAACAATGAGCGTTTCCTCAATATTTATTGCTTTGACAATAGCGTGATCTTAGATTATCAATGAAATTTTTATTTTTTTTTAAAGAATATGAACAAAAATATACAAAACATATTTACAATCTGTGTTAAAATAATGGGGATAATAAAGAATTACTTATATTTTTATAAGTGTGCCATTTTTATGGTGGACGTCAAGTGGTAACAACACCAAAATAGCTAATCATCAAAAGGAAAGGTAAATTTTCTTTAAAATTTTATATATTTAAATTTTGTTGATGAGAACCAATATTTTTTATATTTAATATATCTTTACCTTGCATAGTTTTGTTAATGTGTTTAGATGCAAGTCTATCTATCTATCTAGCTGTCTGTCTTGTCAATCTTGAGGAAAGTTCAGATCTTTCAGTTTTGCTTTTACTTTACCACATGACATTCATATAAGATTGTTTGCTGTGTGTCATATCTTAATGTAGATATTATAACACTGTTCATCTGCACTAGCCTATGCCTTGTGTAATAAAAACCATTAGGTCACTTTGTGTTTGTTTCAGTAGCAACAGTAGTGTTCTGTTGCTTAGAAACTAGAGCATTACTGTGATAGTGATGAATGCACATTGTGCAACTCAAAAATCTGTTATGAACTTCTTCTGAATTTAGGCTATACATAAAGATATGTGTGCAAACATAAAAAGCAAAAATGTATTTTCAATCATTCAATGTGTAAAACTAAGCATTGCAAGGTGCATAAACCACCACACCACATTTAGCAAAGATTAACCCTTAAAAATGACCTTGCTTTTAAAGTGGAGCCAAAATAAGAACAAACTCAGTTCTGTTTTTCAGAATACAGTGAAGCATGCACATCCTGTCACAAGATCTATACAGTATAACCACAATAAGAATCGTTTCATTCACTGTACATACTGTCGATGAACAGATATGATATTCTCGAGGAGAGAAGAAATCACCACACAACGAAGAATATCCATTCATCTCTATTTCTTGGCCATGCTGTCGAGAGTTTGCTCCTGTAAGGGAGAGTCCTCCGCGAGAGGGACGGCAGCAGACTGGCGGGCTCGTCCGCACTTTATAAAACACTTCATCAGCAATTCATCACTGTTAAAGAGGTAAACCAGTGGGTTGATCGCACTATTCATGCATGCCAATCCATTACCAACTTGGTTTGCGATGTACACATCAGAATACCATTTCTGACACGTGCCGTCCAGTTTGGAGATTCGAGTTGCCAGGTTTACATTTCTAAAAATGTGGTAAGGAATAAAACAAACAGAGAAGAGCAGGGTCAGGATGACAACCAGCCTGAGACACCTCAGCTTTAAGAAGACATCGATGTCTTTCTTTGTCATCAAAGTAAACGCCACATGTCCGTAGCAGCATAACATTATTATCAACGGGATCCCGAATCCAAGAACCGTCCTTCCGATGCTGTACTTCAGGTACTCCCTGATGTATATGTCCGAAGTTGTGTCAAAACATGATGTTACGTTGTTGGAGGTTTTGTCAAAGAACATATCAGGCAGGCACTGAAGAAAAACTAAAAACCAAACCAGCGTAACAATCACCACAGAGTGTCTCGCTGCAATTCTGCCTTTAACTCTCAAAGTGTGAACGATGCCGAGATACCTGTAAACGCTGATGCATGTGAGGAAACCAATGCTGCCGTACAGGTTGATGCAGAAGCACAATCTTAAAAGCTTGCAGAAAACATCTCCAAATGTCCATTTGCTGTTGGAAGCGTAGTAAACCACCAAATAGGGCAAGGTTAAAAGATATAAAATGTCCGCCAGGCAAAGGTTGAGCACAAAGATATTTACATTACCAATTTTCCTCCAGTTATCATACATAGATTTCAGCCCCAAACAGTTGCCAATTACTCCAAGAGTGAAAACAGTCACGTAGACCGAGGGCAAAAATGTGTGCGTAAAATCCAAATGGACTAATTTACAGGTAGAATTGGACTCCATCGTTCATTAAAGACGACAATTTCTTGCTGGAGGATGGAGATGCTTGACATTCTCGCACATGAAAACAATGTGGCACAGGAAGTGTGAGCACGTTGAGATGTCTCGACTTGAGAAAGGCACGGCACATGTGCGTAAAAAAAACTTTGAACTCTGGACTTTGAGCTTGATCTCATTTAGATGATAGAAAAACAGCCTTTATTAATTATATTATACATTATAATAATAATTAATAATTAGAATAAAGTAATTATATAATATATTTATTTCTATAATTAAATAATATTATATAATTCATTATATATCGTAATTAGCCTATATATATATCGTTATTTAGTTATACCCGGGGTCCATGTAACAAAAAAATCTCACTCATTATCTCATTAAAGACGACAATTTCTTGCTGGAGGATGGAGATGCTTGACATTCTCGCACATGAAAACAATGTGGCACAGGAAGTGTGAGCACGTTGAGATGTCTCGACTTGAGAAAGGCACGGCACATGTGCGTAAAAAAAACTTTCCAGACTTTGAGCTTGATCTCATTTAGATGATAGAAAAACAGCCTTTATTAATTATATTATACATTATAATAATAATTAATAATTAGAATAAAGTAATTATATAATATATTTATTTCTATAATTAAATAATATTATATAATTCATTATATATCGTAATTAGCCTATATATATATCGTTATTTAGTTATACCCGGGGTCCATGTAACAAAAAAATCTCACTCATTATCATTCCACTGAATATCCTCTTTATTTCTATTGTATTTTCTATTCTTGTACTACAGTAATCCCTTACAAAATGGCACAAATTCTACCAAATGCAAGTTAGAGCATCCAATTCTTGCTTGCCTTTCCTCGTAAAAACAAAAGAGGGCAGCCTTAACGCTTCTGAATCACTGTCGAGTGAGAGACTCATGATGGGAATTCAATATGAAGCTACTAGATTTGATTGGATTTAACTTAACATTGTTTTAGGTGTTGTTGAACTTCCCCTTTAAAAAATAAAGATAAAAGGTTTATTTCCCCCGTATTTACATTTATGTGTGATACATTTAGCAAATAGAAGAACAGATTAATAAAATAATTTCCTTTTGATAAGTGAATGTCAAAAGTAAATAGAGCTACTAGACCCCAAAAAAGGAGACAGGCACACAGAACAAAACATTTATCATTGAGAATTTATGATGAGATTTAAAAAAAGAAATAGTTTGCATAAGGTCTGACAAATGCTGTTAACTTTTGACTGCAAGGTTGTGAGGTGGCAAATCACAGTGCAATGAAACGTGAAATATTCTAAATGAACACAAATGTTAAAGGTTCTAGTATTAATGAAAGAATGTAAGTATTTACATATATACACAGTCAATCCTTTTGCAAGAATTTGGTAAACACTAAAGTACGGCTAGTGTCAGTCTTCAAATAAAAGCCTGCAGTACATACAGGTGAAGAGGCTACATTTAACCAAGTAGGGATAACTGCATGCTGGAGCAGTGGGTGTGGCAAAAGATTAGAGCGTGCCGAAAGGTAGGGGGTGTGGATAAAGGTCTTTCTAATTGGTTAGGGTTAGGGGTTAGTTTCTGATGTAGCATTCACCTTTCGGCACACCACCTTTTGCCACACACATTACTGCAGCTACCCCTGTCTCCATTTAACTGAAAAAAAAAAAACAATTGTCTAAATTTCGCATAGCATCTAAACAATGCTTCTTCTATGTTCATGTGCAATGTTATCTCAGGTAAATTTCAAATCTAAGACAGGAAGTTTCTTTGCTTAGATCCTGTTTCTTGAAGAGGAAAAAACATATACTGTGAGCTAAAACAACTGCCACTGTGTAAACCCAATTGATCAAAAAGAAAAGAAAACATTTCTGGCAGATCTTAAGCTCATAAACTATTTGAATTACACCACCTGTCGTCTTAAGACATTGTCTTGAAAAAAAAACAGTCAAATCTCAAATGGCTTATGTGCTCTTTACTGCTTTAAGTCGAAGAGGGTATTTGTCAGTCAGGAAAATGAAACCTCAAATCTTGTGTTGGGTCCGTGTAACCAACACGCAAAAAGTAAAACCCAGAGCATCCAATATGAAACTGCTAGACCCAAAGTCAGCCTATAAGAGAGTGAGTGTCTAACCCCAGAAGGGAGTCCCTCTATATGCCCCTCCAGATGAATAGGGGCAGTTGTAATGGCAGATGCAGGAGTTGATGGTCATGACAGCATGATTGAGCAGTCTTCCTCCAGGGCAGCGGAAAGTGACCAGTGCCGTGCCAGTGTGGTAAGGAGTGCAACAACGGTTGTCTTTACATGAGCCACAATAACGGGGCCTGTAGAACTGCATACTATAGCAGCCCTGGTGGAAAAGCCGCACCGGGGTCACTGACCTGTAGGTGGGTTGGCATTTCCTCCTTGACCACTGAAACACAGAAGTAGGGGTTGATTAGAGAATGTTTGAAAACCGAAGCATCTTTTGGTGGATCGGAGACATACCTGTGGGTTTCTCTGGAGAACAGGCTGACAGGGTCGGATCATACACAAGCGCATCTGCATCTCCAGGCGACAGGCTGGGTTTTGATTGGACACCCGTGTGGATATTCCAGGCCCGCAGGTGTGTGAGCAAGCACTCCACTCTGAGCTCTGGTCTATGCAGTTTGAACCAGGTCTGGTTTGGTATGCAGAGTCTGCAGGCAATGTCTGGTCTCTTCCTGAAGCTGCCATCCCAAAAACAAATATCTTGTTATGCTATATTAATACCAAACATTGAGCTTTTTTATCAACATTCTTTCAATTAGGACAGGTTTTGTATTTCTCTTTTAGAATTGATTGGAACTGATTAATTGATCTGAGCTTATGCACTGTTTTTGAGTGAACATTGCCAAAATTCTATACAAATAATTATTTTTTTCACTCAAAAACTGAGGTGCATATGCTCAGATCAATGAGGCCTTTGACCAATCAGTTCCAAAAAGAAATATAAAACCTATGCTAATCGAAAGAAAACATGTTAACAAAAAGATTGTATCCAATATTTGGTGATAATATAGCATAATGACAGATTTACAAGCAATTAAAAGGCTGGTCATCTTTGACTGATTCATTTTTGAAAGGACAAGGGTTAAAATAACACAGACAGAACTGTTCACAAGACGTCATGAAATGTGCATTTAGAAAGTACAGTACATAGTATCAATTTTGATTTCATGTTGAATTTAAATATTAATTCTAATCTCAATAAACCTTATAGAGCTGTATTAATTCGTAATCAGGTTTTACCATCTGACAATAATTGTTATGAGAATCCCAAAGAAGCAATACCGAATACTTCTATCACTATGAGATGATAGTCAGCCATTTATTGGCAGTGTTTTGTGCTCATGGATCTGTTAACGTCTTCACTGTAAACACATTCGGACCAAAATTTACCATTCCAGCTGATTTAACTTGGGTGGCAGTGCTTTTGCACACCCTCCTGACTGGTGTTCCACGCTCTGTCTAGCTTTTTGGAGTTTAATTGTTGCATTACACAGACATGAGTCCTGTTATGAATTATGGAACGTTGGCTTCGTGAAGAAGCTAGAATTTGTGCTTTTGGGTTCCATCTTGGCAAGATATTTTCAATTAAATGGTCAAAATCCCACAGACGGGAATGTAATTGAGAGTTCTCAGATAGGGATTTGAATAAGAAACATGTAAAAAGATTTATGCAAAATCCCAAAAGAAGAGAGACGGTTTTCATTCCAGCTCATGAAATAGGCCTACTATTACATGAGCAACAACAGCCTTTGAGTCAGTTTTATGGCTTGATTTGTTTGCTGGACACAAAAACAGTTAATAAAGTACCTATGTGAGCGTCCTGAAGCACTGTGTTGTCCATATTTTCACACACCCACTCTTTACAGCATTTTCCTGGTTGTTGAACCCTTCGAGGATGAGGGCAGTCTGGGGTGGGCAGGAGAACATCCTCACTGCACCGGGGCACACAGGTCACCCCTCCACCCGAACAACTACACTGAAGAGCACAGGAGGGCTGAAATACCTGGCCTTCCTGGTAAGAGACTCCATTATGTTCACAGCCCAGCTCCTTTTGACCTAAAAACAAAGGTTCAGAAGATTACACTGATGACACTATATGCAATGCAGAAGGCCTAAATGTTCTGGTGTTCTCATAAAGGTTTATTGTGAATGTTTAAGGTTTAGCACAGAAGCTGTATACTCTGCTTCCTAGACAGGCCTTACTGGCTTTGTATTTCACTGTAAAAAATATTGTAAAATTTGAAATTAAGGAAACTTTTTTTCCAGAGTTTAATTAATTAATTTTATTATTTTAAATGAATGTCAGTTTAAAAATGTAGGTTGTCATTACTTAAATCCTGCCATAATTCTATCACTTATTTATTTAGATTTAAAATGAAGGTTTTATTGAAGTTTTTCCTATTAAAATTTAATTCTCAAATGATAGCATAATAAATCAAATTCTCAAAATAGCTGCTCAAATGATAAATCAAAACTTAAATACAATTGTATGTAGTCATAAACTATAAAAAATATTATATATAATTAATATTTTATATTATATTACTATACTGTATATATAATTTGTGTTTGATGAACTACAATTTATATATTTTTCATTATATATAATTTGTGAGGAAATTAAATTGCATTTGAGATTTTGATTTATCATTTGAGTAGCTATTTTGAAAATTGATAATGAAAATAAAATACATTTTCATTATAAATCCAGTACAACCCTGGTAAATCAAACCTGATCAATCAAATTCTCAAATAATTGAAGTAGTGTAGCATAAACTGTAAAAACAAATATAATGAATATTATATTTAATATATTATTATATACAATGTGTTTGATATTTCATTTTATTATAAATTCAGTACAACCCTGGCATAATTAAAACTATAATTTAATACTCAAATGATAAAATATAAGGACATCTCAAAAGATAAATCAAATGCTCAAACCAACATCACAAATGACAAATTAAATGTGCCATCCCAAAATTAAGATAAGTCCAAACTGAACTTGCCATGTAAGCCGTGTCAGTCAAGAGCTATGGGTGGAGCTTATGGCTGATTACATGTTTTATAGTGGTACTGGAAATGCTGTGTATTTGGTGGTTGAAACTCACTGACACACTCTCCTGGGTCTCCAGGAAAGCTGGCGCTATAGTCACATTGCAGGCCGCGTTGACTGTCACACGGAAACAGCTCACTGCAGGCCTCAGCCTGCTGCCGCGCACACACCTGACAGCACTGGCACCCATCGAGAATGAGAGGAACGCCTTCCGGGCAGTCTGGTACAGAGCTTTGGCACTGACAAGGGCTGCCACACTGCTGACAGCACACCTAAGACAGGATACAGGAAGACTTGTTATGTAATGAATGCAACAGAGCATCCGTTTGTGTAAAACTTGCACAAAATCTGTTCATCTGCTCAATAATACCATGTGTCCAATGCTTGAATGCAGTTTCAAAAATCAAACATTACTGTAATATAATGTATTTCTTTCAAGTTTTCCATGCTATATTTTTCATGAATGCCTCTAATAATATCACTGCTGGTTTTTAAAACATAACATTTTAAAACATAAAAAAATGTATAATATGCATATGGAGAAGCAAAAGGAAAAAAAAAAAGATCCCTCATGCGAATCACTGACGGTAAGTATTCCCAGGCTTTGAATACATAAAACATGCTTTCAATTATAAGCTAGTGTTAGAGCCAACAAGCTTAAGATGAAAATCATAAATTTGTACAGAACATTGACACTTCAATTAAGCTTTAATTCTCCATTGCATTCCGTTCATACCGGAAAACCCTGTCTCAGAGACAACAAAGCGTCCCTCAAAAAGTCCCTGATAAAAAACCACTAAACTAACCTCTTCCTCCTCTAAACTCTGAGCATGACAGTTTACAAAAGTAACCAGATCTATTCTCACAGCTGTTGCATAGCTGAACACACACATCAGAAACATTTCCACTGGCAAAATGCATGCATGCAAATAAAGTGTGAGATTCTCACCTGTGAGCCTAGGTAAAACAGCAGTGTCCATGCCATGAGGCTCTTTCTGTCTCTCTGTAGCTTGTCCATCATGTTCTACTATGTGTTCCACCACAATGAGATTTTCTACTTGCGTTACTGTTTCTCTTGTTTCACTGCCTGGCTCTGTGCACATGCACTTTTATAAAGTCCTTGCTCTGATGTCATAGCCTGACTGCAGGGTAAACAGTGGCTGGACCTGGATCAGAAATGTTTCAAATTCCACATCTCCGTTGCCCATTTCCACAACCAGGAATTATTTTCTCCCTCTGCTCGTCTGCTCTGGTGTGCAGAGATGAAACATGGACTTTTGGAAGAGATAACAGCATATTAAAGCTTCCTCTTGACCACATTCAAGTTTTCTGTTTACATCTAAAGTCTAATAGCTGTTGTTTATTGAATTGCTACATCAAATATATAAAACAGACTGATAAGGATGGTTGGGAGTTTGATATTGCACATTAGTTCAGAAAAACAAACAGTTTATATTGTATAACTTACATATTAGACACAATTGCCACTACCTTTGTGTATTTTTGCTCCGCCAATAATTCAATAAAGTAAAAACAGAATTTAATAACATAGAATAGAATCTTCAAGAAACACACAGTCATGGTGCTCATGAATGTATGAGTAGTTCTGAATGAATCGGGTGAGTAAACAATTCAATGACTACCTCAATAAAGACCTAGCCTGAAATCGCATACTCTCTGAGAAGGTATTTCTTTTGAATAAGTAATTACTTTGTGACCATTAAAAAGGTGTGTTCAATATAGTATGAATGTGTGTAGAATTAATGTAATCTGTACATATTTGCCATATTGACATTGTCATGTGACACACCAGTATCAGTTGTGTCGCTTTACTTTCAGATTAGCCATGATTTCATGGATTACACGCTGCAGTTCTGCCATCTTGCTGTTCGTTCCCCATATGACGACGAGATGCTAAAATCGTTGTATTGGATCGGGGCTAATTACCAACATCAAGTAGACCTTCTAGTCACTCAAGGACTGGAAGGATGCTGTCATCAAGTGTCTGGAGAGTGTCTGCCCCCGATTCATGCCACAACCTGACCCAGAGCCCAGCCCGTCACCACCTCATTCGACAGCTATTTCGCCACAGTCCCCCAGCAGACTGGAAGCTCCCCCGTGCCGCGAAGTGTGAGCCAATGCCCGAGAAAGGGAGGACAGCGCCCACCACTACACTTCAGCCGAAGCACCTCAGAGAGTCTGACCAGGGGTGTCAGCTGGCATCACCATCCATCACTGTGGGAGTCCTCGTGGTGATCGAGGGTATGGAAGCAAGCCTCTTGTGTTGCCCCTCGAGTTCCTTGTGTCCCTTGAACTTGCCAGAATGTGTATTGTCTTCTTCAGTCCTGCTGACTCCGCCCAGCCTCTCTCTCCCACCACCTCTCCAGACTGCTATTAGAAATGCATTGTTTTTTGTTGGTTTCTGTGCTCAGCCACTCCTGCCACCGAGTCATTACCGTCCCCCATCAGTCCCTCAGTTCCTCCCCTCAGTGGCGTAATTACACCAAGGTCCTGCTGGGAGCCACTTCTTCCTGGGCGTGATGAGCCCATGGCCCAGCTTCCAGCCTCAAAGTGCTCAGTGCCACCTCTACCTGTTGTCCTGACTCCTATGCCTGCGCTCCTTCCATCCTTGACTCCAGCGTGGACCATCGGCATTCAGCCTCACCGAGCTCCCTTGGTACGTCGGCTCCACCTGGGTCAGATATCACCATACCTTCACTGCGGACTTACGGGCCATTCGGCCCTTTACCCCTTCGGCTTCAACTAGCTCTGCCTACACCCTCGGGCGTTCCAGCTTGACCTCTGCCATCTGGTTCCCCACTTCCATTTCGGGGGCTCCGTCGTGGCTGCCTAGGTCATCAGCATTCCATCGCTCCCTCAGCTCTCCGTCTGCACTCTGGGTTCCAAGGATATCACCATACCTTCACTGCGGACTTACGGGCCATTCGCTGTTCTCCGGCCCTTTACCCCTTCGGCTTCAACTAGCTCTGCCTACACCCTCGGGCGTTCCAGCTTGACCTCTGCCATCTGGTTCCCCACTTCCATTTCGGGGGCTCCGTCGTGGCTGCCTAGGTCATCGGCATTCCATCGCTCCCTCAGCTCTCCGTCTGCACTCTGGGTTCCAATTCCTATCGCCTTGCTGTCGGTCACCCTCCTGGTGTCGTCAGCCAGGATTCCACCATGGCTCCTCCCTCCATCAACTCCACCATGGGCCATCGTCCTGGTTGGGCTCTGGGTCAGCACCCTCTGGCCACTCATCCCATCATCCTCTCTGTGGTTGCTGCCTTCATCTACTCCTCCATGGTTTCTACTGCCTGCTTTCACCAGCCCTTCGCCTGCTCCTCATTCACCTCCAAAGCCCCCACTCTCCCTCCCTCCCTCACTTTATCGGTTATGGCACGAGATCGTGCCTTCTAGGAGGGGATGTAATGTAACTTATTCAGATATTTTTGTCTTAGTTTCATTTTCATGGACTTTTAGTTTGTTTCTATTCAGTTTCCTTTTTCCTTCATTCTAGTTCCCACCAGTATTTAGTTGTCATGTTGACTGATTTGATTGAGTTAGTCTTCAGCTGTGTTCACATCATTTGCATATGAGTTCATGTGTGTTCTCCTTTAGTTTGTCTGGTCTCGTCTACATTATGGTTGTGTTTACCCCTGTACCTGTAACTGTTCCTGGACTTATCTTTGGAGTTTATTAAAAGACTGTTTGCTTGTACCTTCATCTTTGTGTGATTATCACAACCAGTTGTAACACTATTCTTTTCGCATACTGTTTTTTTTCCTATTATATAGTAGGGAAGTATATGATTTTGGATGCAGCCTTCATTTCGTTCCTGAATTATTTAAATTAATTGGTTGAGTAAATGATTCAATGACATACACCTAAAGATCGTAATTTTGCCACCTAGCAGCTTAACAGTGTAACTTGTAGAAAGAGTCATTGAAAATCCCCATACTAATACACACTGTCAGTTTGTCTGGAAAGTGATACAAACAGTGAATAGCCTCAGTGATCAGAATTTTTGGAACCCTGCTCAGTCACCAAGTTCGAGGACCGGAACCAATTGTTCTTCGAATTGTAATAGCATTTAAAATAGAGAATTTGCTTCCATTTAAACTGTGGGTGGCACTGAAAAAGAATTTTTAGCTTCTCAAAAAGACATTATACATTTTTCACGTCAAGTGCTCAGACAAAACAATCCTATTGAAATGTAGGATGACCCATTGGGAATGACGGTTTAAAAATAGACCTAGACGGGAAATTCACTTTTACAAATACCACAGCTCTTGATAATTCAGCTGGAACACATGTGGCCTGCCAGATACAGCAAAAGTGAAGTGGATATTAGTTCGGTCTAAAAATTCTATCCAGCCACTCTTATATTTATTTTGACATCCTTTCCAAAAATCACAAATGATTGGAATGTACAATATAACCATAAAGGGTACAGGGCACACATCTCTTTATGCAAAACACAGTATAGTATTTCAGAATGAAAAATATTGTCTTATTCTTGAATGATTTTGATTCAGTTTAACAGTGGAGGATAGAGTAATCTAAACATTATTATCCTATAAATGGTATTAAATAAACATTCATCAAAGTCCAGTGGAAACATGTTATAGGGTGTCAGGAATGTGTAAATTTGTTCTGGAACGATGATTCATAAAAATATATTTTTTATTAAATATTAACTGAGCAAGAAAAGCAGATGTGTGACTCCCGCTTTCATGTCTAAAATTCAGCAAGTTGTGGTTAAACACTAGTCCAATAATGTCTCATGGAAAAGTTTTCGCTTAAAGTGAAGTACATGCATTGAACTTTGCTTGCTGAGTGCCCAGGAACTGACTTAAGTTAACAGGAATACAGGATATTGGAAAGGCAGGCTCATATTCATACACTAAGCTGTGGGCAGGAGTGCTTTCATTTAACACCTGCTTTGGTACAGCAGAGTAAAACCCTGAATACTAAATTACAGTACAGTGCAGTCATATGGCAATTCTAGAATCAATGTACAACAGCCCTAACAGGTAACCTCTCTCAGTGTGGACTAATTGGTTTCATTCAAGAAATATTCTGTGGTCTGTTCTGTGGACCTCATTATGCTTTTGGTATTGGAAATAGGTTGTCTTCGAGTTTACTCCTTCATTCACATTCACATGTGATCTTCAGTGCTTTGGCTTAGGACCTTTCTATGTTCCTTTCTTGTTATTAGCTCCTCAGTTACCGCACACCCTGCAATAAAAAATTACTTGATGAATCGATATACTCAAACAGACAAACCAAACATAATTTATATACAACATTTATTGTCTTAATGTTAAAAAGTCTTTGGTTTGCCTGTGAGGTTTGAAGAATTTGGCCCCAACTGCACTATGTGTCATAGTTAATCAGTTGGAGTCATAGCTAATAATTTGAAAACTGGAAACCTTTTTTTCCTTTGTATCCCTTGACAATATTACATTTCCTTTCATATGAATCTTAAATCTAACCTGACACTGAGACCAAAAAATTTTTGCTAACAAAAACATCTGAAGAATAGGGATAATGTACAGCCAGCCAGTCCAAAAATCCCAGAGGCATAGCAGATATTTACAGGGCTAGTCACAAAATAAATAAATACATGGAATATTTATATTAGCTGAAATTAATGTATAATTTTACTCGTATAGTATATTAACACTACCACTAAAATTGGCAAGATTGAACAATCAGAACAGACGATTCTTGAGAGCCGTGTAACAAATGATTAATTTGTCAGGACAGACCGACTTATCATTTTTATATTCTCTTGATTGATGTTATCAGTGCTTTGTTTTGTTCACCATCAAAATCGTAACATGCAAAGTAAAACTTTAAAGTTTCCAGGTTGCTTTTTTTCTTGTTATTTGAACCGACCTCTTACACATTAATCGCAGCTGCAGCCCAGATGTATCACCCTCTAAAAAGAAGAAACTGAATCTGACTAACTGTTTTTGAGGGGAGGAAATGATACCTAAGTTCCAAGCATTCTAACTAGATGTGTGAAACTGCAAAACAGGAAAGTCTTTGATTTCTGATAAACAAGGGTCAAGTAATGACGTTTGAGAGGAAGGAAATCTGACAGTCACAACACACACAACCACATGCAGTAACAGCTTTATGGGAAAAGCCCAGTAACCGTCTGGAAGGGAATATTAAAAATATTTCAACTGAATCT